TGTCATCGGTCGCCGCTGGCAGCAACACCATTGCCGATGCATTACCGACAACAGCACCGCCGTCCCAAACGCCTTTATCAGGAAAAATTTCAGGCTTATCTTGCTGTTTTGGTGTTTGTTCGGCGTTCAAGTCGTTGCCTTTTGCGTGTTTGGCTATGTAAGGACCGGTCATACATTCTGCTATGCCGCGTTGACTCACGGGCTTGACCTTCTTACGGCCCCTCCTATCTATTCTATGATCGATAATCCTAAGTTCTGCACACTACGGAGCAATCTGGCAGCAATGGACGTTTTTGGCTGGAGTAATGAAAATGTACGGATCGGCCTCAATTTGTTCCTTATTTCTAAAGGCCAAAATGGCCTCTTCATTCCTTAAAAGGAAATTATTACTTTAAAAAAACACTGGCCACAAGCACCACCATCATCACAAGCAGCACAAGCACAACGATGAGGAGGACGGGGAGCGCCATGACAACTGCGAGGTGGGAGGAGTGGTGGGGGCTGGGGCGGGATATGTGGTTTGTGCTGGCAGTGTTTGTGCTTTGGTTGGTCGAGTGAAGTGGGGCAAATTCTGAAGAGGAGTTCTTGCTGGGAATTTAGCTTGGTAGGGCCTCACCTTCTTGCCTCTGGGTCACAAGTGTGTGAGATGTTGAGCTTGCAATGGGGTCATCATATCACCTGCCTGGTCATGTTAAGCCATGTTGTTGAAATGATGGCCATGCCGGCTAAGAGAAGCTTGTGAACAAAGGCCCGAAAAGGTCTCTCACGTATAATTATGGATGAGTGCTGCGTAAGTTTTCCTTGTTGCCTCATTGTTCTGCCGTACTGTTTGCATCATCGCTTGTTTCTACTCCGATTGCTTCCCCTTTGACGATGGTGGGGTGGTTTCTGGCGGGTCCATTACCGCTCCTACAGGCGTGTGAGGAAATGGAAGGAGACGATAACCATCACCACCACCATCACCACCACGAGCGCGGGGAGACACGGGCCGCCACTCGCTTTGGCATCCGCAACTTTGTATACTCCCGCCGGCGTCCCTTCCACCCGCAGAGGTAAGAAAAAACGTTGTTCACAGGAGGTCAAGCAAACTGGGTCTTGGCATCACGACATGGCATCGCGACGTTGCAGGTTTTTGCTGTCTTTGCCGTTTTGCCAGCGTTTATGCTACCCGGGCTATACCGGTTTCGTGTGCTATGTATGACAACGATGTACGACAACTATGTACGGAGACAACTGTCGTAATTCCAGCTGCGGCCATCGGGTGTGTGTGGAAATGTTGTCTTTCAGGGAAGTTTATCCTCAAAGCTAAGATCTGCACACCGCACTTGTCACTGATTTCCGGACTTTTATGTTTGCCAACGCTAATAAGGGGCTCTGCTTGCTTAATGTTGCCCTGTAGTATGCCACCCAACCTTCCGGATTTGTCCCACCCAAACCTCCGGCCTTCCAATCTCCGCACCTGTACCCATAGGCTGAAGGAGATGGTACTCAAGTGGCTACCCGTGACGGTGAACCAGGCCATTGACGGGGAGGCGCCCGAGGAGGGGGATAGCCCCATCAAGACGGGTGCGTGGACAACCGCACGTGGACGTGCTTGTGTGTAGTGTGTGTGTGGTGTGTGTGCGATTGAAGGAGTGTAGTAAGGAGTGCAAACGCCCATCACTTGCATATGCAGGTTAGGCGGTAAGGCAAAGAAGACACTTGTGCACACCGTTTTGCTTCGGTTAGACATGCATGACATTTAGTTAATTGGATAGTGCTGGCTTTGGATGCGTACAGGGTAGGCAATAATTGAGGCACGAAGAAAAAGGGTAATCTGGGAATGGGGGAGGGGGAAACGTATGCCAGTGTGGTGTACATGGCTGCATGGCGCAGCAGGGAGGGTGTTTGGGTTGGAAAAGAAAGGCTTGGCGCGCGTTCATTCCCGCATTTTCCGTTGCTGTGCTAGTTGTCCAGGTTGTGTGTTTCATGCAGTGGTCCATGCAACCATCATTCCAGGATGCAGCACTTTCACCCCTTCTCGGACGTCGGCAGTTGATCCTTTGCTTTAAGCGGAGTTGATTCCAATGGCCCAGTTCTTTTCAATCGGCCCTCCGACTGGCGCAGGTCGCCAGCAGCAGCTCAGAACTGCCCATGTTTACCTTTCCACGACGTTCTTTGCTAAGCATATCCGACAGCCTATTCCTTTCCAAATTTCACCTCTTCTCGCGAGGTACGCGTCCGGCCCTTTTTTGCTTTCATTACTGTAATTACTGTACTCGTCTTTCATTCTTCCATCTTTGTGCAGTGATGCACACCAAGGGCTTCATGTGGCTGTCCTACAGCCACACCACCGCCTACTACTGGAGCCACGCGGGACAGCATTTTGAGATTCGTGACGAGGGGGACTGGTGGGCGGCGGTGCCGTCGGAAGACTGGCCCGCGGACGCGGCGCAGAAGGACATCATCCTCAACGTAGGTTAGTTGTTAGTGGGGCCCCTGATGCATCAGATATCCAGCTTAGGTCCGGAGACGCATCTTCTGGATAAATGTCTTCTTCTGCAACGGTAGGCTCTGCAGTGGTAGGTTGGTCGTGCTGCCTTTGGGGGCGGCGCGGCATTTGCCGGTCGCGGTTTGCAGTGGTGGCACTTCTACATACTCCCTAATAAGCCTAGCACGCTTGCGTTTGGTTCCAAATACATTGAGATTGGTACTCGTTGCATGCTCAGCTTCCTCTTAGTTGAACATAGTCATTGTGTAGTTCTTCGAACGGGAAATTTTATCCTACTGCTTGCGTACTTGCGTTTGGTGCTTGCGAGTCGAGATCGATCGCCATTGTACTTCCTTATGGACCTTACAAAGTCAGGGACGGAACCAGAGAACACAATTTCAATTCTTGATAATCTTGGTAGTATATTTGTCAGTGGGTAGCGGAAGTGCGTCCCACTTTAGCGGAATATACTCATATTTGGCCTCCCCACCGTGCCCAAAGGCGGGGGGTGGGCATTGGTTCATAGCTCAGAATTTAGCACAATTTCATTTCACGAATCTTGCATAAACACAATTAATGGAACATGCTATGATACACGATATCACAAGCTCTCCAATGAATAGCGGCGCTTACAGGCTGTCTGACACAGTTGCCGCTTTGCTCGGAAAGCATCTCAGAGGAGCGGGACAGACCGATAGCCGGGACGCACTGCAATGTTTCGGTGGCCTGATGGATACCTGCAAGCAAAGATATGGCGGTGCCTTGGGAGGTAGCCTAGTAGCTGCCTCGCCCGCCGAAGGCCGCCGAGCTGTTAATTTTTGCCTGACAGTAGTATTTGTAATTATACTCTTTTTGCTTGTATACTCTTTTTATCGACAAACAAACATACCAAACGCTAAACATTAAAAGAAAATGCCGCTTATGCGCCTACCTTTTCCGTATGCCGATTACCGAGGACACCAGGAAATAAACCTTAACCTCGCTTAGACCCGCCTACTCTCTGAGCAGGAGCTTCGAGGCAGTATCTCAACAGGAAGCTGCTACCTGTTGGACACGTTTCATGCTGACCAGTTTTTGGACGGGAATGCCATTACTTCGATGCATTATTCAAGACCGAGCGTGCACTGATCTAACTTTTAAAACGTTTCAAGGCCAGGAACTCAGAATCCATAGGGTCGTCGTAACCTAAAATCGGAAAGCTCGAAACCTGTACGGCTACTGCGAACTTGTTGATGGGGTGTTAAAACTGTGGGCGGCTCGTCCCGAGAAAGGACGAGCACCGGGGGCCCTGACCGGACCGAAGCACAGCGCAGGAACGGGCGCGCGTCTCCACGTCCGTCTGTTCCTCTGCGCACACCTCACTCCCTCACTCACGCCAGCCGGGGCACTCTTCCAGCCCCTGGCTAGGCAACACAGCGGCGCAGAAAACTCGAACAGAACTAAGGGAGAGCCGCGCGAGAGGCGCCATACCACCTCCAGGAACCCTAAACAGGCTACCTGCCCCCACGTGTTGTCGGTACGACATAAGGTTACACCGGCACTGAGTTCTACTGTTTAGCACTAACATGGCTTGCGCTGGACAAACGCTGATCTCACGTATGCCTGCAGCTGCGAACCCACCGGACCTGGCATCTAAAGCAATAGTTTATTTTTAACAACTACACAAAGTTTATTTGTCGATCTCTAATTATTGAAGCATGATGCTCAACCTGCTTCTCATTCTATCACTCGCTGGTAGTATGGAAGGTAAGTAGTATGGCAGGACGGCGTGCAGCAGTGTTACGGAAGCTGAGCATGATCCTCGTCGCGCTCTAGGATTGCTGCAGTGAATGTTTTGGGTGGGGCATTGTATTATCATAATGGTGGAAACTCCTGCAAGCTGACAGCGGGATGCGGGGTCTTACTACTTTGCGGGCAGCAGCATGCGTGCTCCCTGCTAGCAACTGACTATTTTTCGGCACAGGAGCGCAAATCAAAAAGCTGTATGTAATGAGCTGTAACTGTCATTTCTTCCATGTGCGCCTGCATCCTGGTGTTCCTTCTGTAGCTGCGAATACTATTACCGACGCAAATGCCGACGAGTTGGAGGGGTCGACGAAGCAAACGAAAGCGCCCAGCATGGCAAATGAACAGTTTGATGTAGCTTGACGTGCGTTATTTAAAAGAACCCTGAGTTTTCCGGTGGTGCACATGCATGCTGTTGTATGTGCATGTATTAAGACTAACGCAGCTCCTAATCCCTCCTACGCTGATCCAGCTTAATCCCACAGAGTTTCCATGGTGGGGATCAGCGCCGGATTTAAAGCTAATCCCGTCCCTTAATCCGCACTGGAAACAGGCCCTAATACATATGCGCGCATATCAATATGACGGTGCCCTTGCGCACGGATATGCTGAAGTAATCAATGCTTCCCCTGCGCTTTCGTTCATCTCAATATTGGCCGTGCCACGTGCACGCTTGCATGCAGTGGTGCATGCAGTGGGAGCTCGGAGGCCCGTCACAAAGAATGTCGTCAGAACGCGGATCGTTGGAGACCTTCTTTATCTTACCTTGGATAACATCCAGCAGTGGCTAATCCGTGATAGCGGAGGAGCTCTGATACCGCTCAGTGGCGGTTACATACCACCCGGAAGGGACTCAAGGGGTATTCCCATTTCACCTGGCGCGGTGGTGGAGCTGGTGAGTGTATTGTAACGTGTGCGCGTTGATTCCCTTAGCAGCGCATCCCCACTGGCAGAAGTGTGATGAGGGGAGCGAAATGTAGTAGGTACTACAGCGAGCACCAAACGAGTAGTGTCAAAGGTGCTGTACACAGCAGGAAAGGAAAGAGAGCGGCGATGGCAGCACGCGGGGTTATGTACTTGTTAGAATGAACGTCAATCATTTGGATGTGTCGCACCTATATGAAACATCACATTCCCTTGAAATCGCTCGTTCGCTATTTGTCCTCGCGTGCGTGCGCATGTTACAGCCGTTGTGGGGGTACACAAACAGACGTCGGTCAGAGAGCTGCTGCTAGCTATTCATGATGCAGGTATGATGTGAAAACCCTTCATTCTGATACAGGCCTGTATTCCTAGGAACAGCCGTTCCTGCCGCGGCAGGCGAACCAACATTATTCCAGCAGCAGGACCAATAATGGTGATGAGCAAGTTGTTTGGCTTATTGCTGGACCATTGCATGACATTGCATTGCATGTATGCTTGCCAATCTACGTACTGGTCAGCAGCAGGGGCCTCCTTTCAAAGGAGGCAAGGTGCCGGCAAGGTGCCGGCAAGCATATTGAACATCGGCAACAGCAGCAGTAGTTTCGCGAGAGTGTAATAGGGCTAACCTGCTGCTTCTGCTGCTGCTCCGGCTTCACTCCATTCGCTCTGGCCTTCACCAATTTGGAGCCAAGGAGTATTCCGGACCACCTTTTGGGGAACAAAAACGTTTCGCGTGTAAAAGAAAATTTCAGGCCGTTTTTTTTGCAATCTGTTGGAAAGTGCTCTTAGGTACACTCAGGCTTGACACTTCGGTAGTTTGATTAGTTGCCTTTATCCCAATACGACATCGAATCAGGATTGGCTACGGTATGCTTATATACTGCTTGCGTATCCATTCTCTCTCTCTCCTTGTGTAACGATATGAGCGAGTGATGTGTTCACTGAAGGACTCTTATCTCTAACACAATCACCAATTTCTAAATACCAATAAGCTGTTACGTGCCCCAATTACTTTCATCCCGCCCTTGTTCACAGGGGCGTGTTTGCCTGATCTGTTCACCTGATCCCTGCAATCCATGCGTGCCAGCTCTGTCTGCGCTGCACTGCTGTATGCACAGTCTCATCACCTACAATACTTTTACCCCTGCTGCCATTGGATAAAGTCGACACATGCATATGTGCGTGAACATAGTAGTTGGTGACACGCACTAGCCAACGGCGCGTGCTGAACGAGTAGTTCCTACCCAGAGCACCCGTATAATGAGTAATAATGTATGAATCGGTGAATGCACGTTTGTACAGGACTGTCTTTTTAATGAGGCGACGGGCGAGTGCAGACCCGATAATTCGACTACCCTGACCACCATCACCCTCGCCCCAGCAGCCCTGCCAAGCCCTGATGAAGTCATCTACCAGCACCTCCTGGTCATGATTCTCGACTACCCTGCTTGCGGCTTCCCCGCTACCATCACAGAGGAAGAAATCCGGACCCTCTACCTGGGCCCTAATGGGGATGGCAAGGGAGGCCTTGCTGAAAAGTACACGCAGTGCTCATATGGGAAGTTCAACCTCAACATAACTGCCTTCCGGGCTGTGCGTGTGACGCACCAGTGTTCGACACCTATCACGACTAGCTGTGGCAGCTGGGCAATCTCGGCTCTGGCGGATGCAGCCACCAGGCCCCTCATCGGCCCTGTAGCCTTCTCATCCTTCAGCCACTACACCTACATAGTGCCACCGGGCCTTCAACCAGTGTGCCCCTGGTCAGGGCTGGCATTATTGCCGGGCCAACGGACCTTCCTGCAGACATCAGCCTCTGGAGTGTACAGATGGGCAACAGTAATGCAGGAGGCCATACACAACTATGGTATGTGTGATGGGTGACTGCCTGAGTGCATACATATCTACACTTAGGTTAGGCACTACTGGTAATGTGTGACCATTGCCCCCGGGAGATCCCGGGATCGAGGCTGTTAGGGTCTATAATCCTTCCTGTGGTGGAAGGTATTGCGCCCCTGGCTGATGGACGGTGGTGACCTGGGATAATGGTAACCTGCAAGTCGACCAGGAGTTGGGCCGCTGTCGACCTCTGAGAAGTTGACGAGGGTGACTGAATGAGGTTGCCCTGAAATACCGGGGAAGGCTGGGTTTCTCAGGGTAGCTGCCACGGGTGAAGATATACCCTGTTTCACACATCATAACTACTGCTGATTGATGTTGGACCAAAGAGTAATGCCCAAACATGCAACTTACAGCGGCTTGGGTGTTAACGCTTGTTTTCTTCCAAAGCATACTAGCAAGCCAAATGAAGGCGCTAAAATCAAACTTGTAGGGTTTGGTAGCAACGCTTCACTAAGTACTATATGTTGTTACAGGGTGGTTAAGCTTCACCAGTGGCCTCCTTCCCGAGGCAGTTCCCTGCTCTCCCCTGCTAGAGGGGCACCCTAAGCCATTCACCCCATCCGACTTCAGAGTGTACTCTTTGAGTTTGGCAACTCACCACCAGCATCCAACCAAATCTAGCGGATCAACGGCGCGTCAACTTAGTTCCTGGTCAGTTCGCGAGTTGATTTTATCACGTCCTACACCGTCCACAAGATGGGGGGCCACCTCCCATTTCATCACCTCTCAAACACCCCGAGAGGTCGGCAGGCGGATTTGAACCCAGACGCGCCGGAACGCGTCGGGAGCAGAAGCCAGGCCTTAACCTCTGCCAGCCGCCTACGTACTATATATTACTAGTAATACCTTGATCTTTAGCATGGCAGGCAACCCATAAGCGATATACATGCATGACGTTGCTGCGGCACTAAGGTCTGTAAAATTTTAATCGATGTAAGTCGCACCCTAGTATAATAGAAAGGGGACGGTCCCTCTAATATATACCAGGGCACGACATAGAGACAATCGGTAAAACAAGTTTATTTACGATTCGGCTTCCAACCTGTATTATCCTAGTTCTCTACTGTAGCAGCTGACCGCTGAAAAGGTCTCTCGAGTTGCAGGTGGTCGCGCTCTGCGCGTATTTATAGCGCCATACTGTGTATCGGCTGCTACATCTACTGTGGCGCCAGCTAGTACTCTATGTGCTGCTCGTTACATGTGCACAGGTCTCTGGCACTCTTGGCAGAACGGTATTGAGTACGGCGACTACTCGACAGCCATGGGCCGCGGTGATGCCTGCCCCAACGCTGCGGAGATCTCCCGCATGGGCTGGGCCACACCCGCGGTCGGAGGTGACCAGCTGAACAGCAGTGCCTTGCTGCCAGGCACAGCTCGGACCTTTACACTGCCTGCCACCTACCTGACTGGCAACAACAACTACCTGCGGGTGACTCCGGATTGGCTGTTTACATACAACGACCCAAAGTCAGCTCTGAACCTGTACATGGCCGTCCGAGTAGCCAGGGAAGGCGATGCTGGCCTAGGATCATCATATGCTTTCAAGGTTAACATTCATGAATTAAATGCCACGATGGTGAGTGGTGCCTTCAAATAACTATCACGAAACGTTAGATGCAATGTTTACAATTGTGTCTCGTCATATGACTGTAGCATCGACAAACACGTGCGCACAGCAGATAGCTGTTCAGGTGAGCTGAATATGTAATATAATAACACTACAAGGCTGGGCTGACCAGCCCTAGAAAGAAAGAAAGGCATTGTATTCGGTGATTGGGTGTCAGACAAACAGCTGTGCGCGACACAGTATTGGCTGTCACGGTATCCGAATACACAAGCAAGCAAACCCTAAAACCCACGACCATGTAACAACCCATCATCAACAACAACAACAACAACAACATCCACGCACGCCAGCCCGCTGCCAGCTATAAATACCGAAGTCAGGCTATCGATCTCTATCGATCACAGGAGGCCCTCAAGAGGTAAGCCTCAACTATGACTACGACTATATGTCGTGGACTATATGTCCACGAATGACAAAAATAAAGCACATTATCTCGGTGTGACAAAACATTCACACAAGAAAGGGAGAATACACAGGTAAAATACGTAAGCATACACAAATGAGCATGCATTCGCATTTCGATCAGCACAAATCACCACAAATCGATCAGCAAAGAGAATGTAACGCGAACACGAAACAACAACACGAAATTACGCATGTTCCTACCGATATAACCTAAGACAAGTAGGAAAGACAGTAAAATGAACGTGACGCTAAAATGCCGTGACAAAAGGTATTTAAGTTTGCAGCAAAAAATGGCCAGGGTATCGAAAATGGCCAGGGTATTGGTTTTGGGTATCGAAAGCAAGCATGGATATTTCGTTACTGCAATGCGAACTATCTAAGCGGTATTTCGCTACCGGCACTGTACTACCGTCACTACGATATTTCGCTACTGCAATGCAAACTATCTAAGCGTTTTCCTACTGTTGCTGCATGCAGGATAATGATTACACCGCTCGTCAATTTGTGAACAGCGACCGCAAAATCCAGTTCATCAACGCCGTCAGCCCCATGTCCCAGCTGATCCTGGATGTCTACAACCTGGTCGTGTATGGGGGATCATGGGTCGATACAGACACCTTGAGGGTGCACCTCTGCCGATTTACGAACTCGCCTTTTGAGTGCCCTTCCCTCGGCGACCTGGAAGCCCAGCCACCTCCGCCCCTTTCCCCGTGGCCCCCGAGCCCACGACCTCCTAGACCTCCACCGCCAAGGCCACCGCCACCTACGACCCCGCCACCAAGACAGCTGCCTCCCAGCCCGCAGCCGCCTTGTTCACCACCTCCACCATCCCCCAGGCCCCCACCCCCCAGGCCCCCACCCCCTAGCCCCCCACCCCCCAGCCCTCCACCCCCTAGCCCTCCACCCCCCAGCCCTCCACCCCCTAGCCCTCCACCCCCCAGCCCTCCACCCCCTAGCCCGCCACCGCTGAGGCCACCGCCTCCCCCTTCCACACAATTTGGTAAGTTTGCCTTCCTTGCGTGGCTTGTTGGCTCATGCGAGCTCTGCACTCGTTTCTGGCCACCAGCAGACCATTATTCATCCAGGGCTGATACTCTTTCATTTCGTGTAAGTATAGGAAGGTTAGGTGTGCAGAGTAGTGTGGGAATCCAGCTAGTGCGGTAGTAGACCTAGGTGTGCAGCTCACATACATGCAGAAATGTAAAGGAATACCACTGAACCCCACAACATCTGCACGCCTTCTGCGCACGCATATTTCGTTGATCACTGCAGGTCTCATTCTTTCCTTCTTCCATGCATGACCCACACACACGCACAGCGGGTGTGTGTGTGTGTGGTGTGGCTAGTGACAGCTAGCTGGCTTCCTTAATTTTATTGGTTCTCTTGCGTGCATGCATGCTCAGGTCCGACATACAAAGTAAGAAATGAAAGTTTAGGTTGCTCGGGGCGGGACCATAAAGCCTAGCACGTATTAAGGGATTCAACGATGAAAGGGTTGCAACATACAGTCCACATTGGCCGCCATCAGTATTTTGTCACGCAGGAATCACTATGCCTGCGGCCCATGTTGCCGTCCACTTGCACGTGGTTGGAAGTAAATCCAACCTGTTCTCAGACACCATCTTAATAAAGCCCACATTTCAGGGTAATCGTGGCTCATCATCATGTAACCATGGCTCATCATGGCTCGTACAGGGACGGCGATTCCGACATTCTTATGTACATACGTACTAGGTCAGGCACTACTGATAGGGCAACCATTGCCCCAGGGAGATCCCGGAATCGAGGTCTGTCAGGATCAATAAACCTTCCAATGGTGGAAGGTCATAGATGACCGGGGATAAAGTTAACCTGCGTGCCGATTAGGAATCGAGTTGGGCCGCTGTCGATCCAGCAGACTCCATTGGATGCTGGTGGTGGGTGCGGACCCTGAGCGATCCGCTGAGAAGTTGACTAGGGTTACCTATACTGGATGAGGGTGCCCCGAAATACTGGGGAAGGCAGGGTTTCGCAGCTGCGGGTAGCTGCCACGGGTGAAGATATGCCCCCCCTGTTTCACACATGCATCGATGCCATCGAGCGAAGGCTTGATGCATATGCAAGCTCCGAGTAGGTGTATGTTTCACATTGGCACACATGTGCATGTACGCATCATGATAAGTGTACTTAAACGAAACAGAAGCATTATAATAAAGGGTATGGCTGGTTAGCTTAAATACATAGCATTGATGGTAAATACATACGTACATCTCTATCTCACTTGCCCAAATACATACTTTATCCCTTGCAGCCTGCAGCAGGTTCTCAGGCTATTCACTCATGGTCAACGTAGACCACACAACGGATGATATTGGGTGCGGTGTAATGAGCCAGCAGAGTGTCGCGGCGGCCTGTTCTTCCAATAGCGAGTGCAAAGCGTTTAACTCATTTGTATCCAACAATGCTATCTGGGGCTGTATTAAGCGCATAGCTGGGCCTGTGCGACCATTGGCAGGAATCTGCTATTACCGAGGTATGTAATGGATGTGCAGTACTGCCTGGAAAGCAGCCGGCCCATATATTTAGGAAATATATGTAATCCAAAATGTAATCCATCAAATATAATCCATCAAATTCAAATTGTAGTGGATCATGTCGATCACCGTCCAATCACCGCTCAAGGCAAAGAGTACTCAGGGTGATGCCTAGGGAGCTGAACCCTTCTTACAATCCTCCCCCTCTCGAGTGAACGTCCTCGGGCCCCCCCCCGCATATCCCGTAGGAATTTGGTTATTTGAGATCCCGTAGGATTATGATTTTATGGTTGTATGACAAATTTGTCAGCCCCGTCCCCTTCTTACAGCTCCTGCGACCAGTTCTCATTCCAACCCGGATTAGAATCTGCAATTATGCGCTTGCAAAACTACTCTTCCTTAAGGAATGATTTTTCTGATGATCGAGAATAGCCCTCACCTTCATTATGCATGCGTTGTTCTCTGTTAATTCCCGTACTCAGTCCAGCCATGAGCAGTTCTCCTGCTGTAGCAGTCGCTCACCTGGCGGGACGACTGACAGCGCGGAAGCGTGGAGTTGTTAGTCCTCGCCGTCGTAGGAAGAATTCCAACCAAGCGGCAAGCACTAGCGTACATAAGACGTGTACGTAACGATTAGAGACGGTGGCAGCGGAGCCTTGAACTCCGAACACCTAGTAATGTGATACGTCGGTGTCTGGCCAGAACACCCCGCCCGGGTAGCTTATATCTCGGCCTACCTGCCGGATAATCTCTACTACGGACTTTGCCGTACTAGGATAATGTTGGTGGGGCCCGGGGCCCCAGCCCGTTAGATTCGCTTACGAACAGCTGCCCAGTTCGCGACATGTGACGAAACTCGGAACATGTACGAAACTTGAGTCAAATCGTTTAACAAATTAACAGTTATTGTTAAAAGTAATCGTTAAAATATTCTAAGGGAAATGTAGCTTGCTACACCTGCATGCTCCTGATCCTGTTCTTGCCAATTCGAAGAGTAGCATAGTAACCCTCTCAACGCATGTACAATTGTTACCTGCCGCTGCCATGTGTGCAATCAACACCGTCCCACTTGCAGCGTGCCCTCCAATCGCGGGCTACACTGTTGCCATTGATATGGATCATCCGGGTGATGACCTGGCATGTGTGTGGTTAATTACCACCGAGACAGCAGCCAGCCGATGCACTACCGATAGCAGGTGCAAGGCCTTCAACACGTACGTGGATTCCGGCTCGGGGAACTTGGCCAGCTGCATGAAGTATGCTTACACACCGACATCTCCGGCATCGGGTGTTTGCATTTACACCAAGATCACGACGAGTAAGTATGCATGTCTGTAACTCGTTTAAGGGTGTGCTGATTTTGCACTGGTATAATGCATAGGGACCCTTGCATACTTTCCTGCCTGTCAGTAAGTTTGTTATGGTCTATACTGTATGCATGTGCATGTGCATGTGCATGTGCGTGTGCATGTGCGTGTGCCAAGGGTCACGACGAGTAAGTATGCATGTCTGTAACTCGTTTTAGGGTGTGCTGATATTGCACTGGTATAATGGATAGGGACCCTTGCATACTTTCCTGCCCGTCAGTAAGTTTGTTATGGTCTATACTGTGTGCATGTGCATGTGCATGTGCATGTGCATGTGCATGTGCATGTGCATGTGCATGTGCATGTGCATGTGCATGTGCATGTGCATGTGCATGTGCATGTGCATGTGCATGTGCATGTGCATGTGCATGTGCATGTGCATGTGCATGTGCATGTGCATGTGCATGTGCATGTGCATGTGCATGTGCATGTGCATAAATACATACATACGCCTCTATCTCACTTGCCTGAATACATACTTCATCCCTTGCAGCCTGCAGCAGGTTCTCAGGCTATTCACTCATGGTCGACGTAGACCACACAACGGATGATATTGGGTGCGGTGTAATGAGCCAGCAGAGTGTCGCGGCGGCCTGTTCTTCCAATAGCGAGTGCAAAGCTTTTAACTCATTTGTATCCAACAATGCTATCTGGGGCTGTATTAAGCGCATAGCTGGGCCTGTGCGACCATTGGCAGGAATCTGCTATTACCGAGGTATGTAATGGATGTGCAGTACTGCCTGGAAAGCAGCCGGCCCATATATTTAGTAAATATACCCCAAAATATAATCCTGTTTTTTTTCAAATTCAAATTGTAGTGGATCATGTCGATCACCGTCCAATCACCGCTCAAGGCAAAGAGTACTCAGGGTGATGCCTAGGGAGCTGAACCCTTCTTACATTCCTCCCCCTCTCGAGTGAACGTCTTTGGGCGCCCCCCGGCATATCCCGTAGGAATTTGGTTATTGAGATCCCGTAGGATTATGATTTTATGGTTGTATGACAAATTTGTCAGCCCTGTCCCCTTCTTACAGCTCCTGCGACCAGTTCTCATTCCAACCCGGATTAGAATCTGCAATTATGCGCTTGCAAAACTACTCTTCCTTAAGGAATGGTTTTTCTGATGATCGACAATAGCCCTCACCTTCATTATGTATGCGTTGTTCTCTGTTAATTCCCGTACTCAGTCCAGCCATGAGCAGTTCTCCTGCATGCTCCTGATCCTGTTCTTGCCAATTCGAAGAGTAGCATAGTAACCCTCTCAACACATGTACAATTGTTACCTGCCGCTGCCATGTGTGCAATCAACACCGTCCCACGTGCAGCGTGCCCTCCAATCGCGGGCTACACTGTTGCCATTGATATGGATCATCAGGGTGATGACCTGGCATGTGTGGGGCTAATTACCACCGAGACAGCAGCCAGCCGATGCACTACCGATAGCAGGTGCAAGGCCTTTAACATGTACATGGATTCCAGCTCGGGGAACTTGGCCAGCTGCATGAAGTATGCTTACACACCGACATCTCCGGCATCGGGTGTTTGCATTTACACCAAGGTCACGACGAGTAAGTATGCATGTCTGTAACTCGTTTAAGGGTGTGCTGATATTGCACTGGTATAATGGATAGGGACCCTTGCATGCTTTCCTGCCCGTCATTAAGTTTGGTATGGTCTACACTGTATGTGTGTGTGCGTGTGCATGTGTGTGTGCATGTGCATGTGCATGTGCGTGTGTGTGTGCGTGTGCGTGTGCGTGTGTGTGTGCGTGTGCGTGTGCGTGTGCGTGTGCGTGTGCGTGTGCATGTGCGTGTGCGTGTGCGTGTGCGTGTGCGTGTGCGTGTGCGTGTGCGTGTGCGTGTGCGTGTGCGTGTGCGTGTGCGTGTGCGTGTGCGTGTGCGTGTGCATGTGCGTGTGCGTGTGCGTGTGCGTGTGCGTGTGCGTGTGCGTGTGCGTGTGCGTGTGCGTGTGCGTGTGCGTGTGCGTGTGCGTGTGCGTGTGCGTGTGCGTGTGCGTGTGCGTGTGCGTGTGCGTGTGCGTGTGCGTGTGCGTGTGCGTGTGCGTGTGCGTGTGCGTGTGCGTGTGCGTGTGCGTGTGCGTGTGC